CGGACGCACACAGGGCAAAACATAAGTCCCCGTTTTCGGACTGCGTCCGAACGGGGACTAATAAAAGACGACATGCATGAGGGAGACGAATTACAGTTGTAAAAGGTGCCGCCATGAAATCAACATGTGACTACGTAGTGGCGCCGGATTTTGATTTCTTTGCTGTGAAAAATACTACACACAAAGGGGAAAACGACACGAGGGTTAAAAAAAAGGCAAGGAAAACTTATCCTACCAGCTACCATGTCGGATGCCGAGCAGCGGCAACAACCCAAGCTATAAATCCGGACAGGAAAAAAAACAGGCGATCCAGCAGAGCTCGCTAGATTTCATCTCCACTCAAGGCGGAGAGAAATTAAGAGTGATGGACGGCTGCCTATGGCGTTGCCATGTGGCCTCAGACACGTGGGTTCGTGACGTAAGGGGTAAAAGAATCTTGAGGTCATGGGGCTTCCCCTGACCTGGATTCTATCTCTCCGTCACCGGCAGAATCGCTGATTAATGCCTACAGTTCAAAATACTCATTTTGACTGACCGGAGTCTATGGTGGGTAATTGAACATAGTGAATTGTTTGCATTTTCATTTTCCAAATGTAATTTTGATTCAGTAAGAAAAAGCATACAGCAGCCACCCCCTTACTGGCTTCAATTTTAGCAGATTAAATGTGGTATACATGAGAAGAAAACAAAACGTTCTATGTATATGTATATGTATATGTATATGTAAATTGTCTATGTCTAATCAATGGTTTTTAAAATATTGTAAAATACTTTATTTTAGCGGGAATTAATTTTCGCTTAAAGACTTTTTCGGTGTTTTGTATGGAATTTATTTTTATTGATTTTTGGAGAGTTGAATGTGAAATATAGGATAAACGGTATATTCGCTGGATTACATTTTCACTGAATCATTCCTTCAACGAAAATAGCGAAAATTAATTCCAAGCAAAAACAAACCATGCATGGCACAGTCAATGATTAACATTTGTATCTGCTCATCAAACAAGTACTTGTCCATATTGAGAGATATTGCTCTGGAACAGCATTCAAAATCAGCCATTTTGAATACATGTATATATATAACATGATGTATAATGAATATATAAAATTTGAATATATAATCATTCAAAGCATTTAAGAGATATGGCTCCAGATGCCCAATCATTAAAACAAAATGGCCACCAGTCAGCCATTTTGAATCCAATCTGAAAAATAAAATGACGTGCATCAGGAACCCGTAATGTCTAATGTATGTACCAATTTTGAACGAAATCCATTCATAAATGCCAGAAAAGCTTGATATTTGATGATTTTTTAGCACAAAAATGACCACCATTTGGCCATTTTGAATAGGATCGTCAAACCAATATATCTGTTTATCTATGACATGATGTATGATGAATATTTAAAATTTGAACATAATCAGTCAAAACAAGTCGAAGATATGGGTCTAGAAGCCCATTCATTGAAACAAAATGGCCGCCAGACAGCCATTTTGAATCCGATCTGAAAAATAAATGATGTGCATCAGGAACCTGTAATGTCTAATATATGTACCATATTTGAACAAAATCCATTCATAAATGCCAGAAATGCTTGATATTTGATGATTTTTTAGCACAAAAAAGGCCACCATTTGGCACGAGAACCACATTCATTAAAACAAAATGGCCGCCAGTCGGCCGCCAGTCATTTTGAATCTTATCCGAAAAACAAATTATTTGCATCAAGGTCCCATAATGTCTAATGTATATACCAAGTTTGAACAAAATCCATCTGTAAACAGCCGAGAAATGCTTGATTTTTAGGATTTTTTAGCAAAAAAATGGCCGCCATTCGGCCATCTTAAATCAGATCGTAAAAACAAAATGATGTGCATCAAGGTCCTATAATGTCCAACGTATATACAAGGCTTTAACAAAATCCATCTGTAAACAGTTGAAAAATGTTTGATTTTGATGATTTTTAGCACAAAAATGGCCGCCATTCGGCCATCTTGAATCAGATCGTGAAACAAATTGACGTGCATATGTATAATATCTTGTATGATGTATGTGTGAAGTTTGATTGTGATTGGTCAAGGCATTTCTAAGATACAGGTCTGGACGCACGCACAGACGCACGCACGGACGGACACACGGAGGTCAAAACGTAAGTCCTCATTCGGACGCAGTCTAATAAAGCATTTTACAGTTGTAGTGAATGTGGCATATACAATGTATACCCCAGTGATCAAGCATTTTGTAATACGTGTGAAAAGGTCATGTTCTTACCTTTATTCATGGAAACTTGTTCTTTTGCGAGATTGGTTTTTAAAGATTCAATGGTTTCTTTGGCTTCTTGATTTTCATTTTCAGCATCAGTTAGTTGTTCACTAAGCTGACTTATTTTCTGTATTAGGAAATGACAAATGTGAGTGTCATAGAATTATATCTAATACAGCCAGACAGTTAATACATTGATAACTACATCACCAAGCCACTGGGCATATATACAGGTTAGTTTTACCTATGTAATTGCCATCACCAGGATGGTTGAGAAATCACCGTTTTTAATTTACATTTAGAATAGCTGTCCAAATCCATTTACTGCATAAATTTCATGTGTTTATTTCTTACCCTAGATTTTTCTTGTAATAATGTTTTTTGTTCTTCAATTGTTCTAAGAGAATCTTGTAACTGTTTTTCAACTTTTAAAACAAAAATAAGAAAAACTAATTAGCACAAATTAGGCTACATATACATGCAGTATTTTTCAAATCAGAGAATGGAAAAAATATATTCCTCTATTTAAATATCAACAGTTTGGTATTGAAATTATTATAAAAACAATGAAACCCACATTTTTGCTTAGCTTTGTTAACTTGTTGCTGTATGATTTCATTGTCTTCTTGTATCTGGACAGCAAGTCTATCTCTTTCTGCTGTCACACGCTGTAATTCTTTTGACAACTGATCTTCCTTCAAACTGAGAATAAAATATAGAATACATAAGAAAAGAATAGGTTACTTCAATAAACAGTCCTGGTATAAAAGTTTGGTCAAGGGGATTGAGTTTAACATTTGTTTTATGGTTTCAAATAATACCATTATGATATCAATTCCTACAACTTGACTAAAACACTAAATCACCTGCTCTAATTTTGATCCAAGCGGTCAATCTGGTAATCTGGTCACTAAATGAATTCTAACAGAAATTTGTAAACACTTTACCTCGATGGAGCAGACAGAGCAGATACAGGTGGTTGTTGGACCAATCCACCATCATCTTCTTCTTCATTCGTTAATTCCTCTATTTTCATTTTGTACACAGTTTCTCGTCTGGCTATTAACCCTAAAGATAACATACATGTAGAACTCGGGAATGAACATTTAGACCTCTTTCATTGTCAAGAGTTCAAGTACAACTCAGATCAGTGTGCCCGTTACACCGATGTGATGCCACACTGATGCACAAAGATTTCCTGTGACAACTGCTTGTGCTAACTGACACGTCATTGACGCAACAGAAAATCAGACACAGATATAGTGATCTTGAAAAACATTTTACTATGGTTAAGAAGAAATTCAAGGGCCACATCATTTTTGTTTGTGCATACAATTTTTTTTTTCCCAGCAGTCAACAAATTTATTCAATTTGATTTTGTGGCATTCAATTTTGAATTATGACATAAAAAAAGTTAGTCCTGAAAGAGGGCATACTGTTTCTGATCATATGAATGCCAAGGGTGCTGAAGTTTGTTTCCTGCAAGCTATTCTAATTCATAATGACTCATTAGCCACTCTCATGAGTGTGTGAAAAATTCAGTTTAGCCTCTTACACAATTTTTAACACTTTTTTGTTTAAATATAAGGATAACCAGATAAAGACGACCAAATCTTACTGAAAAATTGTTTGAGACACAATTGCAGAGTACCCATACACAAGGTTTAATGTCACATGAAGGCCCTTGGTAAGTTGTCTTGTATTTTAATCCCTGAAGTTCGCTTGAGAAAATTGGATTTCAATAGATGGCACTCTCTAGAGATCCAGGGGCAACTAGTGCCCACATTTTGGCAAAATTGACACTAATGACACAGGAAATGTTTTATTAAAAATAAAAATTGGAAAAAAAAAGATAGTTCAGTGCAGCATTGTTTGCTATATTTGTGTCGACTGAGGATTGTACAATGCTGGTAATTCATAAGCCATGTGTGCAATTATTGTATTGATAGCTCGCTTATATGCAATGTACATGCAATGAAAACACTATAGTTGAGTGATGAAAAACACATACATGTATAATTAATAAATACCTTGTAACATTCGCAATCTACCATTGGCAAAGTCTATTCTTTTCTCATAGGATAGCATTTTGGTAATAGCAGTTTGCAGAGTATTTTCTAGTTCTCTATTTCTTTCAGAAACACTGTGAAGAATCAACACATTTTTTGTTACCATGAAAAGAAGATGGAGGGTTGTAGGGGTACCGGTAATATTACATGTATGATTCAGAGTTTGTATAACTGAAATGAAATATAATTCCAGGGCTTTTTTATCAGTTTTCAATGGGACCATTTCATCAGAACTTCAGGCATTCTGCAGGGGTTTATTACAAACTTGAAGGTAATATTTCAATCACTTAATGTATGCTCTCATCCAGTTGAATAGACCCAATTTAAGTTTTTTATTTTCTCATGCAGTTCTCATTATTAACTGTTGATTAAGTTACAAATTGCAACAGTAAAGGCTTTCCCAGGGTGTTCCATGGCATTTTGCAAATTCCAGGATTTTTAAGTATTTTCCAGGACTGTAAAAACACTGATGATTGTCAACATTGCTGTTATCTATTTTTAATGTTACTGCATGTAGATGATTTTGGATAAAGTGACAATGTTCCTGATATGAGACACACAAGCTAATCACAGTACCTTGTTTTATATGACAATACAACTGTAAGTTATTATAGATACCTCATGACAAAATCTTTCAGCTCACCCACCAATTGCTCACTTTCTTCAAGTTTACAATCCAACACTGCAGCCACCTCTTGGAGAGATGACAATTCTTCTTGTAAAGACTAGAGTTTAAAAAAAAATATAATAATATCGTAAGATTATTTACAATTCTCTTCTCAGATACAAACATGTGTTTTCACTCTGATTCACACTTTGAATTATGAAAAATTGACACAACATTTGCATACAATTTTGACAAGTGATGGTAATTGAACAACATGAAACTTGAGATGAGATTGGTTGACCATTAAATAATGATTAAAATACAGTACGAAATGTGATACATGCCTTAAGTCAAATGTTTCAGAATTCATGGTATATTTTGCAGTCTAGTTACACAGTCAGCAGTGATCACCAATGTTTGACTGGATTTTGTTAACAATGAGACATGTGCTTGTCTTGTAAACATTAAGTATATCACAAGGGAGCCATTTAATTACAATTATATTACTTCCCAAATATGGGTATTTGTGTCCTCACACAATGACAACAGTTGTCAGTTAAACGATCTTCCTCACACAGGCATAAATATTCATAATCGGGAGGTAATATACATAACAGATTAAAACATTACTGTAACAGTAATCATATCACTTGCTAGCCACTCCAGAGGGCGCCATCTATGGGTCATCCCAAAAGGATTATGGTGTGTTAACAGTTGCCCTGGGATAAAGGTCTAATACATCGCCATCTTGAGAGGCTAAACGATAGCAGACCAGCACAAAGCCATTAGAACAACACACCCAATCAACAAATATTAGAATACTAACCTTGTTTTGAGATTTTTCCATTTGAAGTTGAGCATCTTTATCTCTCACTGTGTGTTGTAGCATACTGCATTCATTCTGACAACTTGACAATTCTTCTTCTAGTTTGTTTAACTGAAAGAGTAGACACAATCTGTGAGAGCAGATATAACTTTTACATCTACAGAGATACAATACAGACTTCAAGCATACAATAACATTTAGCTAGATTTCATAACTGGCTTTCAGATTGCTTTAAAGGACGGTGGTTGTAGCGCATGTATTTTACATGTGTTGTGTACGGTGCATCAGTGTACGATCATCATAAGTCTTATAATTATTGATTTGGACACGTCATCAACTCCCGAGTACAGAGTTTGGAGAAAAACTGTATAAAAAATACGAGAAATTACATTTTTGGAACAATTCACTCTTAGGAATCATCGTTAATTTTCATGAAATTAGTATTTATCAAAATTTCATGCCATATCTATATTATAACTACAGAATGTTTTCATAACATAATCAAATTAAATTTTAGGAAGTGGTAACAAAATTGTTAAGAGCAACTTTCTACCAGCAGATCAAAGAACAGACCATAGCACTGTTTTGGCCACTATCAAATTACAAACGACATGCATAAACCACAAACAACTGGAAACTTTCAACAAACAGTTTGACATTTTATTTCCTAAAAACTTCCCCAAATATCGAGAAAAATAAAAGACTTTTTGAACAATTGGAAACGCTCTGGATAGAGAGCTTGAATGAAAAAAAATCATTGGTTACTTGCCAGTTTAGTAAATAAACAAATATTGACGACTTGTGCCAAAGGGTAAAATAAGTTATAATTTTCTAACAAAATACTGACAATTTTTTTATATAAGTAGAATGAATGCCTCACCACCTTAAAATATACATGACTGTTCTGTAAAGTGAGGAATTTTCACTTGGAATTTATTTTTCATGAAGGGAATAATCGGTAGAAATGGACCTTATTACCAATATTTTACATTCAACTCATCAAAAACCAGTGAAATTTAACTTGATACAAAACCGCCAGAAAATCTGTCAGCGAAAACTTAATTCCACATCAAATAAGGTATTTTACAGTACTGCAATTTAGGGGCCAAAATTCAAAATATTTGCTATAAGGTACACCCATATAAACTCTGGGTAGAGGAGGTGGAAGACAAATTGTGGGAAATTAGTCTTGAACAAGATCTTTTTACAGGATGATGTAAAAATCTTTTTTTTTTGTGCTTCCTTATGAGTGTCAATATATTTTCAACCCCCAAATCCAACACCAATCGTCTTGGGATGCTACATAAACAACAAGGGGAACAAATTCATGAACACCTCCTAAAAATAAGTACAATACACAGGACTAGTTATCCACCTCTTCCTCTACTTCTGTTTCTCTGTACATCATCATCCTTCCTTGATATAGAATTTAACGAGTAATTTATGGAGTAAAATTTGGATGAATTTACAGGATTATTTGAATTTTTATATTATATTGTGTTGACATACAAATTGTGTGCATTAAACTGTAAACAAAACTATAAATACACGACAGTGGACGATTTATTAACGTTATTTATCTCTAAATCTGCCAGCATTTATTTTATTATTCTCTATTCTATCCGCCCACCACTATTCATATTTAAACGTTGAATACACATGTTTACATACAGCATTGTACATTTACAACAGAGGACTGTTTTGCCAAATTAAATTAGTTTGTAAACACAAAGAGAAAATGACGTGTGTGGTAACAGATGAACACACATGGGGTGAAATGATTGAGTTTTTTAAGAATGCTACCTGTATATGCTTTGCAAACAGCACCTAGACAGCTGAAAAATAGATTGTTCCAGCTATTTGCATGCTATGTGTTGACTCAATAGACCAATTTTTGTTCACTGTGAGGTCCCACATTATGCGTGAAATCGAAAGTAACACAGGACAAACAAAAGATCGGTTATGGATTCAACAAACGTTAAACTATTTTTGGGGTATTTCCACACTTAATAATGTGCTATATGATGGTAAAGATATCTCAACATCAAATTCACTCTGCAAGATAGGAATTATGCACTGAATTGTACACTAGCAGCCTGTCAGCTGATATAGCTCCACTGTTTGTGATGCATGCTCTGAAAGCAACGACGAAGAAGCAATTTAAACTTAATGCTAGCTGCTTTAATATTGCAACACACCAACTTTCTTGATATTGTTGCAGAGAATATTTCACTAAAAGTAGAGAATTGGAAATATCTTTACGAAATGGACAAATCTAATAGGGGTCTACCCAAGCTGCATATGTACTACTACAAGTATCAAAGAATTTGGACTACTGGTTTTGAAGGACAAGTCAAAAATATGTTTTTTGATGAAAAATGACGAAAATATTTGCTAAAAATAGTGAGTTGAAGACGTTGACAGGAAGGGAACAAATCTGATATAGGTCCACCCAGGGTACATGACATTCAGGTTAACAATTTTGAAGAAGTAGAAAATATCATTTTTGAGCCAAACCTATTCGCTGAAAATGTAGAATTCAAGATAAGGTTACGAAATGAACAAATCTGACTGAGATCCACCCAAGGTACCTACAAATAAATTTACAAAGCAATCAGGTTAGAGGTTTTCAACAAGAAGTTGAAAATACCATTTTTACGAAAAATTACACAAATATTCACTAAAATTTGAGAATTAAAGATATCGTCATGAAATTAACAAATCTGACTGAGATCAACCCAAAGTACCTACAAATAAATTTACAAAGCAATCAGGTTAGCAGTTTTCAAGAAGAAGTTGAAAATAACGTTTTTGACCAAAAAATTACAATAATATTCCACAAAATTGGAGAATTGAAGATATTGTCATAAAATCAACAAATCTGACAGAGGTCAACCTTATATACCTACATATACAATATCAAAGAAATTGGACAAGCAGTTTTCAAGGAGAAGTCGAAAATATAATTTTTTTACCAAAAATGACAAAAATATTCATCAAAATTAGAGAAATGAAAATATCATCACGAAATGAGAGGAAGAGGTCCACCCAAGGTACCTACATACCAAGTATCAAACCATTTGGGCTAGGGGTTTTCAAGGAGAAGTCGAAAATAGCATTTTCGACCAAAAATGAAAAACATATTCGCTATAAATTAGACAATTGAACATATCCACACGAAATGAACAAATCTGAGAGCGAACCACCCAAGGTACCTTCCTAGATGTTTCACAGCTATACAGTTTGTTGTTTTTATGAAGAAGTCGAAAATGTAAGGTTGACGACGGCGACGATGGACGCCGACGGACAATCAGTAATACTATAAGCCCCGCTCGACTCTGTTGACAGCGGAGCTAAAATGGATAAATTAAAGTTCAAATAAAAATACACCTGATATACCTAAATTTGTCTCAATTAAAAACAAAAACTACGGTATATGCTATATTTGACATGAGAAATAACTAACCTGTAGTTTGTAGTTAGAATAGTCTTTCTTGGAAACTATGTCTTGAGACTTCTGCTGAACTAGTAGACTAAAAACTTTCTCACGCCATCTGGGAGTCAAGACAGATTCATATTAAGTTAATACTGCACATGTACAGGCAAGAAAAAAATGAGTGACAAATCATTTCGTGTAAAATACTTTATTCTAGCTGGAATTAATTTTCACCGAAAAGATATTTGTGCTTTTATTTTGATGGTTGTAAAATTTTAACAAAGACCTAAAATAAAGCTGTGAAGCATGACTTTTTAACTGACATGCAAAATGACCAGAAACACGAATATTTTTTTTATTGGTTAAATGTTGTCAGAGATAACAAATTAAAATTAAAATCAAACACACTTTACAGAGTTCCTGTCTGAGCACTCTTTTTGTTCAATGAATTGGTTCTCATTCAGTCACGATACTTAGTTGCTGTGACTAATGTAAAGTGATATAAGTGAGACACACATTATCAAAATGAAGAAAATATCTTGACCAGATTCAAACATGTACTAGCTGAATTGTATTGTTTTACTCACTTATTGAGCAGATTTTGTTTTCTCTGATTACTGTCAGCTTGGTCTGTTTTACTCTGAAAAGATCAATATCAAACAAGGTTAAAATACATAAAGCAAGTAAAAGGTCCTCTTCTAAGTATCCTAAACTTGATCTTGAAGTGTGTTGCTACAACCTCACAGAGAATCACCATTATACCTTTGGACACTATTATTCAAAACTAAAAAGATAGGGAGTCAATACATTTGCATTACAAGGAAACACGCATCAAAATATTATGTAATATCTGAGTGATGCCACTCAAGTTTATGTTTCTTATTCATTCATATTTGACAGAATTGTTACATTCCCCATACATCATAAGTGAAATTCCAGAATTTGTAGGAAACAATGAAATAGATTATGGTGCACAGAGGGGATTTTTTTTAAAACTAAAAGTCAGTAAGTATGGATGACAATGTGTTGACGTTGTCAGAAATGCTTGGATCATTATTATAGAAATGACAACTATATACACTTACTTTACTGAGTTCATTTTCTTGTATAGTTAGAATTTCATTCAGGGAGGTGAGGCGGATATTTAAATACTGTGTTGAGGATTGCATATTGTCGTTGTTTTTCTGTAATCCCTGTGGAGAAAAAAACATGAACTTTTGGTGATCAGAATTCAATTCAGGTGACAAGTAGTTTCAATTGACATTTAAAGTTACAAGCTTAAAACATGAAGTGCTCTGCACTTATCCTCCAATAAAATACTGCTATTATGGCATCTCCCAATACTGAGGCTTTGATTCATATGATAAGGTAATTAGCACAGATAATATTTTAATATGGAATAATGAGGCCCAAACATGAATAAAATATGTGGATGATAAAACAAAGATTTAAACAGAACATGAATGAAAAGGATGAGATTGATGGACAGTACTCCAAGAAAAAACATCCGGGGAACTTCACACTGGATATCAATGAAGAAAGAAGTGACTATCTTACAGTTGAGAACCGTATAATTAATTAATTAATTGGTAAGTGCCCAAACTCTGATTTTTTACTACATGTACTTAAGTAAACAGTTGGCTCCGAGAATCGAATCTACAATCTTCCTGATACCAGGAGACCAGACAAACCACTGTTATGTACCCTCGGTGAAGTAACATGTGAAACCCAATACCTAATAACTGATACATGTACTCACTTGCAATTTTTTTTCAAAGTTTTGTTTTTCTAATTTCCATGCTGATGTAGTTGTTGTGCTGGGTATTGCATCTCCTATATATGTCTTTAACTGTGATACCTTTGACTGTAATCCTTCAATTTCACTCTCTTTAACACTGAAATGAATAATATAGTAGACAGTAATTGGAACATGCTCTATTGACATTAAAAATAATAAGATATTTACAACATTGTATAGAAGCACTAAGATGTTCCAGACTAAAACAGTCAAAAGGTGATGTAATAAATGCATGCAATGTAACAGAAATATAACAATAATCCATTTCGAGGTTTTCCTCCTAATTAAAATGACAAGTAAACATTTTATACATTGGTTCCATACATTGTTGTCATTTTGTCATCTGATGGCCCTTCATGGAAATATATGTTATCTAGGGTGTTGGTGTTTCACCTTTGAACGTCAGAAAACAAACGTGCAACGTGCCTAGGAATATTACAATGTTGCAAAGAAAAGGGAGATAAAAGTTTTTCCGATCACCTTTTTTATGACAACAATTTTGGTCATACAACATGTACTAGTACATTTTGCAGAAAAAACAAGTTTGGCTAAAAATTTTGCAGATTTTTTTTCCCAGCAGAATTGCATATAGATGTCCTTTAACAGTGCGTACTAATGGGACTTAAATGGGCACTGAAAATATTATAATGAATAATTCTCCAAACATACATGGATTTACTGAAATTTGATATTCTACACTTTCTCCACAAAGTGTGAAGAAATCACTTCATCTGGACAGGTACAATGCAACAGATGAAGATGTGACTGCTGTCACATGTAATGCACACACTCATACATACTGTATATATATTACCTCAGCTGTTGTTGAAGTTGTTGTAAAAATCTGTCATAGTCGGCTTCCTTTTTGCCAACTCTATTTTGTAGTTCTTCAATGTCACGATGGTACTGAGATTTTCTAGATTCTAACTCCCTCTGCAGCTGAGAAACTGTTGCTTCAGTCTCCTCCTTCTTATTCCCATAGCATAATTTCAGTTGTGCAAGCTGCTCAAAATATAGTTGTACGTAATATGTAAATAATAATTATGCTAGCACTATCCTGAAGAGAGTTGACATGGAATTTAGTCAACTGACATGAGCAACTTTGATGTTAATGAAATGTGCTTTTTGGAATCTCCAATATTTGGAAGATGACGAAAACCATACCACATGGTATTGATAGGTTATTGGCATTCCTGACCTATCAGGTCAAAGAACACTGTGGAAGGTCAAATCATGCCAAACAAGATAGATCTCAGCTTTGTATGGAATCAATCAAATATTTTAAAACATTTGCTTATGATAAAACAAAAAAAGTTGAGAGTTGAATATCTTTCATAGTATTAAATCATTTTTTGTATCAAACCATACATCAATAATAAGCATTGCTGTTAGAATCTCAGAAAAATAAGTTATTTTTGTGTATATCTATGGTCTCAATGTTTGTTTGTGAAATGTATTAATTATTCCACTGTTCATAATGCTGCAGTGTTTGTTCTCATTAAAGAACGGTGGTCATCATGCAGTATGTGTTCAAATTTTATGCAAACAATGTTTTTTTACAAGCATTGTGTACGTCGCTATAACTCCCATATTGAACAGCACATAGCAAGATGACCACCAACCTTTAATTAAAGCCTAAATTAGTAGTAATCAAACAAAATTTTCGTAGCAAACAAATTATGAAAATCTGCCAAATAGGTAGTTAAATTTTTTTAAATTATCATAATAATAATTATATATGTACATGTACATTGTAATCTCACCATCAAACATACTAAAAAACACTCTCAAAACATACCACAGTAGTCAGTTATAAAATATTGCCTATAGAAAATGATTGAAAAATAAATTAGGTACTATACCTCTTTCTGATACATATTTTCAGACATTTTCATTTGGCTCTCTAACTCCAAAATACTCCTACTGTGCTCCAGCTCTTGTCGCGTCTTTTTCTCGTAAGATTCCCTCAGTTCCCTGGCATGCTGTTCTTGTAGGAATTTCAACTCGACCTTGAGCTGTGCGATTTCTGATGCTTGTCGTGCGATAACATCATTGCTTTGATGTAACTGCAGCTCTGACGGTCTTCCACTGTGATGCAGGTCAATGGTTGCTTTGATCTCCTGCTGTAAAGCAAAGAGAACAGCTTTCAACAAAACATTACAAATTTTAAATTCTCACAGAACAGAACAGAAATACAGGCTTCATTCTCACCATTGATTAGTGAAAATCATTTTTTTTATCATTGCAAAACAGTATGATGTGAATACGTCATTTTTGAATGCAAATTTCTGCTACATTCTTAAATTGTACTTTAAATGAATATTTAATTATTTGTGGTCACTTTGGTGTAAAATAATTGCGGTTGTTTTTATACCCATGTCTGGTTTTGTATTGCTTAGCGCAAACACTGCATTTCCAATTCTGATCACATCCCAAATAAGAATCTACAGGGTCAGTGTAATTTACCAAATAGCTTAAACTCCATTGTATCGATTTGTTCTTCGAACTATGCTACTCTTCACCAGCTATATCCTTTTCTAAATTGTCTACGTCGCTAACAGTATCTGCTTCAAGATTACAAAAAACAGATAGGAACCTTTTATCGACGCTTAACACGCCTACAACTTTGGCCATATTGGAAAACTGAACAGTCTGAAATTGACATAGCGATAATAATGCAATCTCATCTTGCAGATGACGGGATCCTTGATGATACTTAGGCTATTAGCATAATCACGCCCGGAAATTGCGAGAGTTTGTTCTCATTAAATCAGCATGTTTATCTTCGCAGTGCGCAGTTATACAAATGCGAAGTAATCCATTTTTAATTATGCAAAGTAACATTGTACAATGAAAATTGACAAATTGCTTATCCCTTTTTTAGGGTCTATGTTCTGATGTATTCAAACACAATATCACTTGCAATGGTGTACAGTATTAGAAGGGAAAGAAATTCAGAGCATAACTGGAGGTGATTACTTACCTCTGCTTTGTTGAGAGTTGCTTGTCTTGCTTCCCTAAAAATATAATTATTATTAATATCAGTGCATGGCAAAATAGACCATACATCTGCCTCTTAAAGTCAGTACTTTATAGCCATTGCAATGATGTTAATTTGCCATTTTGAAGCAAATGATTAACCAGTAACCATCACATTTGTCGTAAATATGATGTTTGAATGGAATCGACCAAGGCACATTCATTGCATGGCGTCATCAAGTGACCATATAAAAAATGGTAATGCCTAATCAATGCTTTGGAGATGATCATACAATCACAAAATTAAATTTGGGGTACAGCAATTGAAATGCATGGTTTCCTGTATGGCCAATCGGTTGCCCCTATCAGAATTACGAGTCACTCATTTACTCAGGTTGACACAGCATCCACAAAACTTTGTAAGGTGCAAACTTCTGTCGTTGATTGTGTTAAGAAAGCACAGGACATTTTTGTATTGAAGAAAATAAGTTGATACAATAACTGGGGAAATAGCTCAGGTTTTCATCAGAATAATTTATCCAAATTGATAGGTATTTCAACAAAATTGTTTCTGAGCCATACAATTTTGAGTATTTCATTTCCATAGTTGTGTGTACCTTAATTTCTGGTTCTCAACTTTTAAGTCTAAAATCTTCTTTGTGGCATCTGCTAATGAATGATAAGGGTCAGTTGACGACAGTCGTTCAAAAGATGATGGAGGTTGTAAATCAAGTCTCTTGGAATCTAAAGTGAAAGAGAGAGAATGAGAAAGAAAGTAAAGTTTTTAAAAACCCAAAGTTAAAAGTCAACATTTATCACGATCCATAAAAGTGCTGTACTAATTTACTGACCGGAAATCCAGGCAAAAAAAATGCTGCAAATTTGACAGTCACACCCCATGTCTGTCAGTTAGACTATACCATTTACTTTACAATCATCCCTTTATGCACGAGCAATAAATCATCAATCGGTTACATTTGATGAATGTAACTATTACTCATTCTATTTTCTAGACACAGATGGAAGTATTATATTTATGGTACCATGTCCCGTAGCAACAATAGGATGTCTTAGTTTGGTAACAGTTCATGTTAATTTTTTTTCTGTAGACATTTTAGCATGAATACTATAGAACGTTAGTGTTGGGTTTACAATGAAAGGCAGTAAACTGTACTTTAGTTTATAAAATTATTTATAATTATAGATTATCAGCTTTCATTCAAATTCAAATATTGGTTATTATCTTTCCAGATTCTTATACTACATGTATAATCACGTTGTACTGTCAGACACACTATAGAAGATAAAGTTTAATGCATAGGCTCTGTATGTGTTCCCCCCCC